AATGGGTTTTTCACTTGAGGTTGTCAACTCACAGGATTAAGCTACAACTTTGACTTGTGATGATCCAGAAAATGCAGACCTTCTACAACCAGAAGTTGCTGAATGAAGAGAAGTACAAAATACCTTCTTTACTGTTCTAATTTCTCATCTTGAACCACTTGCTTCTCTGAAACTCTCTTTAATCTTCAGACAGTGCTGTAATATATTTCTGGAGCAGAATATTATGGCTGGGTTTATTATGAAAAATAATCAAACAGAAACTGTGGGGTTCCAGTGGTTGTGGATTCTCAGGCTAACTTACATGTAGTATAGAATGATTTCCTTTACTGGTTTTAACACCTTCCTTTGGATTATGTTGCAAGTATTCTTGTCAGTATAACATTGAGCAGTGAAAACAGGGTTACATGATAGATTACCTCTCTGTATGTCCCTTTTATGAATACAAGATGCAGTTCCCAAACTCAGGGAGATAAGCCCCCATCCTCCAGTCTTAGGGGGCATAACAAAATATACCCTGAAATCTGGAGTTACCAAGTGTAAAGGCAGGAACATCCTACACATGAATATATTAAAATTCAACCAGTAAATAACTTTGACTTTTCTGTTTTGGCAGACAGTTTCACATCCCTGTAACTTTTACATTTAAAGTCTGCTTATAATTTTCAGTCTTTTATACCACATACAAAATTTTCTCATTGTTTCTGTGCTCTACGTTGGCTTAAATGGAAACTTTTCAATTGCTTTTAATTTTTTCTTTCCAGACCTATTTCTACATTCGTTATTGCAATGGAGCAGGCAAATAAAGCACCATGATTTTTCTGAAATGATTTTAATTATATGTGTTTTTTTTCCTGTCAGCAGCTTTCCCTGGTAGAATAACAAGAAGAGACAAAAGAGAAACCAAAACTCATCGAGAAAATCTTCTTAAGTCTTTCCTGAATCGCTGCATGGGGAGATGCCAGCAAGACAACAAGGCTCACACACCAATGTCAGCCTGAGCTGTAGGCTCATGGGACCATTGGCCTCTTCATCTGTCCTTTGCTCCTTGACAACCTCTTTCCAAAGGATCCTTACCAGGGTCTTTGCCAGCCACTTCAAAGTGGATTTCATTATAGAGATGAAGCAAAAAATGACATAATTTGGCCTGCGAGGCCTTTTCCAGGCATTTGTTGCCCTGGTATTGCTGGTCTGTCCTCACCCACATCAGGTATATTTCACATCCTTCCCCACGTGCCTCCATATGGGACAGAAGTAGATTCAGTGGATGGAGTGCTATACTCCTAAATGAATGCATAGAGTGTCTGCCTTGCTGTGCGGGATTAACCTCCTGAGCTACTCTTCCGAGCCAAGGTCTTCAGTAAGCTACTCTCTGTGGCACCCAGGGCTGCCTTCTAAAATGATCACGGTTAATTCAAGAGCCTGCAGTGTGTACTGAGTAGTTATAATTATTCCATCAAAGTACATTACTGTGTTTCTGTCTGTATCAGGGGTAATGTTCTATCAGGCTGTTAATTTGCCTAGGTTTATTAGAGCCTTTCACAGTCCTCTCCAGATTTGATTTCACTGAACAATTCTGTTACCCCGACTTTCTTTTTTTCTTATTTCTACTTTTCTTCTCCAAATTATCTTTTATTGCAGCACTTTGCACACATATTGGTTCCAGGAGTAATTGTGCCATACTGAGTTTTCAGGATTCTCACTTCCGTGTTGTGTATGTGCATGTTTATGTATTAACTAGCACTTATCAGAGTGGAAATCACAGAGTGCCTCATTACCAGAGCAGATCATTAGATGTAGGAGCATTTTTTATACAAAATGTGTGAGAAAACCATCTTTCCCTAAAAAGCCCACTCAGATCTGTCACCAAACTCTTTCTTTACGGAAAGTTAGTCAGATTTTTTTTTCATCTCCACATTTTCTTAGTCCATTAAAAGGCATTTATTTTTATTATACTCCTTTATGAAATTTATTTCATCTGAAGCATATTCTTACCCCATTTCAAATGCAGGTTTCTAGAAGCTGTATGTTATTTTTAGGAGAGATTTGTAAGTAGAACTATCTCAAATAATTGCCCAACCTTTGGTTTGGGAATATTTTTTTCAGTATTCCTCATCCCTGAAGCAAGACTTAAAATATGGTAAAGTGCTGAAATCTGACCGAAATCAAGAGCTCTTCTACACATAGGAGCTTTGAATGACTTTCAATTATAAAATAAAATTCCTGTTGTTGGTTTAATAACACGATCCAAAAAGTGTCTATGAGAGTAGTTAACTTCCACTAAGCTGCAAAGGACTTGTCCAAAAAGGCAGGAGCATTGAATTCCCTGCTGCCCTAAGTAAGATTTTCCTGATGCTCCTTCACAGAAGACACTATTGACAGATGGACTGCTGCGGGTGTAGGAAGACAGGGCAACTGCCTCAGCAGCCTCCATCTCTTTTCCACCACCTGCCCCACAGAGGTGGTAAGAGAGGGTGAAGAGACTAAAATCCACTATATATGTGGGGACAGACCCCTTCTGGGGCTAATGGGGCTGAATGCCCCACTCAGCACCCCTGAGCCCCTGTGCAGTGGTGGCTGTGCTGAAAGCAGAGACATGCTCCTGGCAATTTGAAGTCACGTTGCCTAAATGGGGTAAACACATTAGTTCGCTCTTTCCTTCCCCTTGTCCCTTAGCTAGGGGCAGCACAGAGGTTTTGTTTAGCTTTGGAAAGAAAAGACAGCTCTAGACATTTAAGGCTTTGGTTTACTAGATAGAGATGTGTCTGTGATGCTTCAGGACAAATGTCAGCTGATGGATAGGGCAACTGGATTTTTTTTAGACAATGAGGAAAGAACAGAACAAGCTTTGAACCTAGCTCTTGGGTCTGTTTGAGAAAAAAAGAAAGATATTTTGAGCTCACTAACAAGGTCTTATCTTTTGTTTATTTACAGAAATATTTGAAACAAGGGCATAAAAATACAGTGCAAATGGAATACACAGGTCATGCAGATTATGAAAGAATTTTTTTTTTTCTGTGTGTATGTATGTATGATTTATGTCTAATAACCCAGCCTCGTAAACCCTCACCTGAAAGATTTAAATCACACCCAGTTTTCACCATGTTAGCCTCTCTCTATTTAGTAGGCTGTAATGCAACTCTAAAAGATGGGTTGCCTGCTTTTTCAAAACCGGCTTATTTACACAAGGTATTCATTACACAGCATGGTAATTTATTTTGAAGGGAAATTTACCCTCTTCATCAAGCCAATGAATTTTGTGCAACCTGAACTATGTAGATAGACATGGAAAAACGAGGACTGGTTATTGTAAATCATTACCTTGGCAGTGGTCCAAAGCCTTTAGGGCTTCAGCTGTTACACTAGTAGAGCAGATATAAGCTCCCATATAACTAATCCACATCGGTTACAAAAAACAATAATATACCTATGTAAGTCAGTCATGTGAAAATTAGCATGATTTTCTGGCAGTGTTTGAAAATTACCTAGTCCAGTGTATAGAATGCGGAAAAAATGTCATAAAAATACAGACGTAATACACTATCATACAAATAATAGAGAAGACTTAGTAGAGGTTACATCAGTAATCATCTTTATAAACTCCACCTGACACATACCTTAATAGAAAAGCCTGGGGAGGTGGAAATGGAAGCATATCATAAGAAAAAAATCTCGTTATTTAAAATACTTTTAGTTTCAATATAATCTTATTTACACAAAGTCAGTTTTTAAAGACTTCACTACATAATTACCATCACAGTAAACAAACAGTAATGATTTTTTTCCATTGTTCTGTGTTGGAAATAAGAATAGGAATACAGATGTGTTCCCTTTGGTGATGGGTTTTGATCAGATTGGTTTCTATAAGACCTTTTTCAAGCCAATCAGAGTAGCCTGAAACCTGTCAGAGAAAGATTGTTGCCAGAATAAGCCTTTAATAATATTTCACAGCTGATTTGTTTTTGAGTTAATTTGCCCTTGAGAAAAAGAACAGTGTCAGTAGGATCCTTGTAGGGGTTGGTGTTGGACACAGCACAAAGGAACTATAATCACTATATCAGTACCTGGTTGCAGTATTGGAAAACAGAGAAGGAAGAGTAACGGGGAAAAAGAAACAAGAATTAGCTAGGAGAGACGACTGACACGTTCCAAGCTCCCTGCTGATTTAACAGAGACCATGTTCTCTTCTTGAAATACGGAACTGTCTGTTCAAGTTCATTGATTTAAAGTGAAGGGAGTTATTTCACGTTTATGCAGTTTGTGCCATTTGTAACCCTTGAACAGAATCTCACCCAGAAACTCTTTAAACCTTGAAAAGGTCAGACACAGAACTCCTTCAGACTTTATTATTAAAAGCTTCCTGCCTGGTTTTACTGTAGAGAAAGAGACAGTGACCTTACATTTAATCACATCAAGGACTCTGTGCTTGAACTTACTTAAAAGACTCCTTATGCAGGATAGCTCTATCCAAGAAGTCTTTTGCCAGACAACAATGTTTTTAAAGCAGCGTGCAAAATATCCCTCTTGCTGCAGACTCCTCCTGCTGAGTAAGCAGCCTCTCCACGGCCTGCAGTAAGGAGGCTGAGAGAGGTCCAGGGGAATCTGCATTCAGCCAAATCTATCCCATATGCATGTAAAACCTAATAGAAATCAGCTGTGAGGCCCTACGGCTGTACAGGAGTACATGTGATTTACAGCAAGGCAAAGGATTTGCAGAATCCACCGTCTTTGGTGCTTTCATTTTTTAATGCTTCAGCCTGAGCAAAATTAATCTTCTTAATGAAGTAAAATGGAGGAGTAATTAGCTCCTCTGCTTGCACATGTTTCACCAAAATGCCTTTGTTGGGTTTAAGAAGCACACAAGACTTCCATTTCTACCTGCTGCTGGAATTTCCCTGTTTAAAAATGCAGCAGATGCAGCTTGAAGAAATGTTTCTGCTCTGATCTATGTGCTAAGTCTCTGATAAATGCCTTGTCACATTTGCTCTGCTTTGTACTTGGAAAGATTCTTATTTGTTTGCTTTTATGTTTCTACAACTGTCTCCTTTTTTTTGCGCACCATTTTCAGGCAGGGATAATTTTGTTAGGGATAACGGGCTCTGAGCAAAACTTTCTGTTCTGCATTTGGCTTGTCTCCACAGGGATTAGGTGGAGGTGAATGATGAAAAAAAGATACAAAGTCTGCCTCTGAAAAGCCCCTTCTTGACCATTTCATCTCAGCCCTCACAGTTTTGCCACCTTCACATCTGTGTGCAGCAGCCCAGCACAACATGCAGAACGATGTCATTTATAACATACTGATATAACTGGAAGCAAAACAGGGTTTCCCTTCTGCTGAATCATCACCTCCTGTCATGGAAAACTCCCTGAGCCAAATTCTGACTTCTAAAGAGAAAGCTAGATATGGCTTGGGGGGAAGGAAGAAGGGTAGTCTGGTAATTATGTGACAGAAGGGAAAAAATTAGCAAGTCTGGGTCCTTTTCATCACCTATTCACACCTGTTTATGCAAAACAGATAAATAATACTTATCGTTGCTGCTAATCTGTTCAAATACTCTGGGAGTACATCGCAACATCTTAGTGAAGAGTCCTTTGTTTTTCATAGGTATCGAAGTTGAAGGTAGAAAGCAGAGCCCAAATGTGCACAACAGCCTTGGTCAGCAGAGTTTCAGGTTTCAGAGAATTCCCTCTCTTCAAGGGAAGCACCATCTCGTAAGTACAGACCCGTTGTAAGTACAGAGCCATTATCAGTGTAAAACATGTAAACAAAGTTTGGTGGAAGGAAATAGTGGCTTACTTTGCTGTTTTTCTGACTCTCCCAGGAGCAGGACTCGGCCTCTTGAGGAGCTATCCCTCGCTGGAAAGGGTGGTCGTTCAGGCAGGTCTGGCAGAGTGGAGGCTCAAGCTCTGAATCTGCTGGAGGTAAATGCATCACAGTGGACCCCGGGTATTTGAGGCTGGTATGTGAGCGCTTTTCAACGCTGACCATTGGGCTCTTAATCCACCTTCGTACCTGTCAACACAGAAGGAGGTTATGGACTCTCTTTGCTTTTTGGCAGCTGGGGTGGCACAGCAGGGTTTGCAATGAGGATAACAGCACAGCAGATATCAGGATCAAGATCGACTTTCTGCAGGAGAAAGTACTAGGCCATGTCAGGGTGCATGTGTGAATGCACATCATAACCAGGCTCTTTATGTTGAGAAACTTTTGCTGCTTTGTCCAAGTCTGCCAGAAGTTTATCTACAATACAAAGTTTTCAGGCTTAATAAAGATATTGAAATATAAGGTAGACTGCTGTGAAGAGAAAGACAACTATCCAAAGCAAGTACTTCCAGCCTAGACAACTCAGTTTCCCCATGGAGAAAAAGCAGACAGGTTTTGCAGGAATAGACTTGTAATACTTGCTTTCTGCAGTCCTTTTTTCCAACAGCAATATTTACTGTATCATCTCTTACTTCATAAACTATCTCAGCCTTTTCTGTGCCTCACATCACTCCATTCAAGTGTCAGTTTCTCGTGTTGACCTGCCACAAATTTTGATCCTGACTCCTTTAAACTGCCTTCCCCTGCCTTCTCCTTGTCTCCACAGCCCCCTGGTTAGGACTCATTGTACTACAGCAGGATGGACACTGGTTATGAACCTAATACACTGTGTTCACAGGACACTGTGTCAACCTTGTACGCTTTGCTCTTCCTTTTGCTTCTGTGACTGTTTCTTTTCCACCATGTGAATCAAAAGTATTGGATTTTCTAAGAAGTTAAGCGAGGACTCAGAAACCTTTCTGAGCTCTTTTCCTAAATTATTTTCCATTGTGAAAGCAAAAGGACCTCTATGTGAGTTGTGGTATATTTGCACTGAATCTGGTCAGAACTGTCTCATTTGTATGCGAAGGACAGATAGGGATGTCTCAGGATACACTCTGGAGGGGGAAGGCTGAGACAACCATGGCTGGCAGCCCAATTGGCCTCCTATTGACAGGAGGCAACCTCTTTGCTTTGTGAGCTTGGTGTCCCTGGCCTCAGCATCACTGTGCTTCATTTGGAGATGATATTTGCCATTAGAAGATGCTTTACATCAGGAAAACAAATATTTTATGTTACATTAGTCATGAGCATGACAGTGAGTGTTTGATTAACTGTGGAAGTCTATATCTCAGCAACTGGTTACCAGGATTACGTATGATAAACAGAGTGAGACATATCTAACCAGCCTTCTTCTGGTGACTCCTCCATGAGCGAAACGCCTGCAACTGCCCTACTGTGCTGACCTGCCAGAAATCTCAAGGTTAGGAAAATTTCTCTTTCCTCTCTATGGAAACCAAACAAATAGATTTCCTTCTGTGGGCAAATGAGCCACTTCCCACTGCATTTCCCATTTGCATTTTTTAGCAACATCAGTTTGTGTGGATAATATTATCCCCTACTTTCATGCTCTGGAGCATCCCTACAAGACTATCCAGACTGTTTTAGCTTCAGGTTGGTGGGTCAAAGTTGTAGCAGGAGGGATTATTTCTTTTTCAGATTCCATTTCAATAAATATGTATTGAAACTGATCTTTTGATTCAAGTAGATTTTAAAAACATTTATTTTTGCCAATCATAATTACCTCTATGATTGTTAAGCACATCATTAAATATATTATTCTCCCCAAGTAAATACATGGTTGTGTGTCTTGATCTAATTCCAAATTTGGTATGTTGAAAATAATAATTATATTAATGGTCAAAAAAACCATGCTTGATTTTCCAGTGTAGTTTTATTATGGGAAACGTGCAATGTATTTAATGTGATTCTGAGAGAAGTCTGCTCAATTTGTCCTTTTTAGGTTTGGCCTGGTGATCAGTTAAGTGGTTTTGGACCTGGTTTTGCCTTTCTTCTTTGACATCCTGGAGCTTCAGTTATATCATTATGGGTGCACACAGTGTGCAGGAGTGTGCATGAAAAAAGAACCAAATTGACTGCAGAAAAGGGCCTGGGATGCAATGAGCCGCAAGTTCAGTCTTTCTTAAAAATTCAGGGAGCATGGGCCAGTCTATTGCTTGAGACTGTTCAATTACATATGGCATCAACTGAGGCAGGGATTCAAATGTAAATCTGGATTTGAGGTTTCATTAACACCCTTTGATGTTAGTTTTATGGTTTTGAGTTCATGGGATTTGCAGTGATACAGTTAAAAAATAATTTCTATTTTAGCTTCACCTGTGGTTTCACTGTCTTGTGTTTCCATTTACATATTTCTAGCCTGCCTGTGTATGAAGAAGCATTCAAAATGTGACCTGCATACTTCTGATGCAGCAAAATCTGCCTGTATGGAATGACCTTGTAGCTGTACCTTTTAATGGCAATGACATATACATTCTGCAGTATAATGATCATAAATTAAAAATTACCCACCAGTGCTTTAATTTGTGTGAATGGTAATGATGAGGGAAAGTAACAGTGAGTGCATTTTAAGAAGCTGCATACACCAGAGTATAGGTGGCATCTTCTGGCTCTAGCAGCAGCAAGTGGTCCTTGAGTTCAGGGTGAATTCTGAAGAATTTTTCTTACTATTATTTATTCCAAGCTGATTCCTGGTTTTAACTCAGATACACATTTTTTTTTATGGATTACTTTTTGCTGCTTTAAAGTGTTGGACTAAACCAATGTTTTCACATGATAGGCCCATTTTATTTATACATTACAGCCTGTACTGAGAGATGAAGAAGTATGATCACAAACACTAATCTGGTCACGTTCTTCTGTTTGATGCAACGAAGTTTTGGGGAAACTAAGGTGGGAAAATCGAGCTTTGAGATTGAATGTACTAGTAAGATTTTTTTTTAATGGTTGGAAATAGTCCAAACAGGTTAGCACACTCACAGTTCAAATGCACTGTCAGAGGAAAGCTTTAAAAGAATTCTAGTTTTCCTTCACTGTTTTGAGCAAAGTTCAGGTTCATATATATCCAGCCACATGTGCTCAGTCCAGGATGCTGTGCTGACTCAGTGAAATACATGTAACATTTCAATAAATTTAAGTGAGTCACTCTGAAAAGTAATATATAACGTACAAACATCAATAGAAACCAAGACCTGCATAGCTAAGCCAAGGAAAGTTGTTTTTCTTTTTTCTGAAGCCGTTACCTCTGTCTGAGGCGCCATGCAGGGGCCCTGTGCTGCCTACCCACACGCCCAGACCTGCCTGGCAGCTGCTCCAGGGAAGCCAGGATGGAGCTGCCGCTGCAGTGGGTGCCATGGAGCTGTGCTGAGAGCTGGCATGTTTGTTGTTTTAAGAACTTGCCTACATGGGTGTGTTAATGTCTTCTGGTCCAGTCACAAACTAGGTAAATGCACATTCAACCCCTGTGTGGATGGCTTGGTTCAGAATTATGATGGGTTTAATTAATTCTGCAGCCATTTACTGCATTTATCTAAGTTAAAATTTCAGGTTTTATTCTGAATTAAAAGGTTCAGGAGGACTTTAACAACATTCAACTCCTTTCTAATACCTCTTCTTCAGCTAATTCGGAATCAGTATCCCTTTGCAGACAAATCCTACATTTGTATTTTGAAATTCATAAGTAATATGCACAGAAAAGTGTGGAAAATGAAGTGATTCACCACTGATTTTCAACATGTTTCCCTGTCCAAAAGCATTGAAAATATTGATTTGAAACTGGAAGTATGAATTGGCAGCATCTTTGTAGCAGCAAGGCCAGGATCAGACTTGGGAAGAAAAACAATTTCCCTGGGCTTTGCTATGCAGGTCTTGGGTTTCTATTGATGTTTCGAGATTATGTATTACTTTTCAGAGTGACTCAGTTTAGTTTATTGAAATGTTATGTGTATATATTAGTCATTGAATTATAAGTCTACACTATATGCTTTTGTCTAGCTTTAACCTTAATAGACTTCAAAGATTTTTGAGTTCTTAATATTTACATTTACGTTAGACAAGTGCCTTAGATCTATAGTTCTGTTTGACTTGGGCTATCTTAAATGCCTCTAAAGATTTCAAAGTGCAAAGGTTCATTTCTTTTGAATTCACTTCCACTAAAAAATCTCCCACACTGAATTGCACAAAAAGAAAAAGAATTTTGAAGAAATTTCTCACAGTTTCTTCCCGGACTTGACAAAGACAGATTAACAAGTAGCAGATGATAGTTTGCTATTTAGGGCATTATATGATCATATAATCATAGAATGGTTGGGTTGGAAAAGACCTTAAAGTTCATCTAGTTTCAACTACCCTGCCACGGACAGGGACACCTTCCATTCTACCGGGTTGTTCAGAGCCCCATCCAGCCTGGCCTTGAACACTTGCAGGGATGAGGCATTCACAGTGTCTCTGGACAACCTGTTCCAATGCCTCACCATCCTCATAATGAAGAATTTCTTCCTAATATCTAATCTAAACCTACTCTCTTTCAGTTTAAAGCCATTACCCCTTGTCCTGTCACCACACGCCCTTGTAAAAAGCCCCTCTCTAGACTTCTGTAGAGTCCCTTTAGGTACTGGAAGGCTGCTATAAAGTCTCCCCAGAGCTCAAATACCACAGTGCTAGGTGCATAATTCTTTATGGCACTGTAAGGAGTATTTGATTATTCAAATACATTATTTTTTTATTCTTATCATGATATCCATCTACCAGTAAATAAATTAGAGCCTGCTCTTAACTGCAGGAAGCAGTTCTATTCTGAACTGTTTTGAAGATTTCTGTACTTTTGTTTCCAAGGTAGGTCTCTTTAAACTCCCCAAGCAACTTCATACACTATTACAAAGTATAAGCAGCTGACTCTTTGAGTGTGTCTGGAATAATCCAAACAGAATTGAGCAGAACAGAAAGAGCTCACAGTGTCTCTTGCCCCATCATGACTATAGTTTCTTTGTGCCTTTTTCTCATCGACAACTTGTATCTGCTAGAAATTGCTGCTACTGCATGCCTGGTTTTGGAGCATCCAACAGTTTCTGGTTAAGCTATAACTGCATTCCTGAGAATCACTGTTCTCACACTGATTCTGTGAAGGAACAGCCTCGCAGGCCTGTGCAGATAGACAGTGGTCTGCTTTGCTGGTGGTGTGTGCTGAGCACAGTCCATCTTAGCACTGAAGCTGCACATCAGCATTCTGTCATGCTCAGGGCTAGTGTGTCTTGCTTTCTAAGGCTGACCAAGACATCAACTCTACATGTTTGTGCAGACAGCCTTGAGATTTGTCAAATATTACCTTACTGCTATTAGCTAGAAATTGACTAAAAATGCTTCAGAGAGCCTTTGCCTTGCCTTTCTTTGCTTGGAGAGAAAAAAATGCAAAGCAAGAAAAAACGTAGGTCACCAGAATTGTCTATGAAGCCTGATCAGCTCTAATGTAATTACTCATCTGAATAATTTCTGAAGAGAAAGGGTTTTGAAGTTGTCAAAGCAACTAATTCCAACTTTTCAAAAATAAACAATTTCACATTTTCAAGTCAAATGACATTTTTACTTCTTTTTTTTCTTTTTTTTTGAATTATTGAGATTGAACAATTTATTTGGAACAAATGCAGTCAACTTCACACTCATAGACCTTCATGGCTAGAAATAAACACCTCTCCATCCTGTCACATTTTAGGAACTTTTTGTACTGCTGGTTTTGTTGGACCACCAAAGGACCTCTGCAACTATTCAAAGTTGTTTGATATTTCTAGCATTTCTTGCAATGACCACAACTGAAATTGATGAAAATTTTCCCTGTTCTTT